GGGGGGGGGCCCGGAGTTCGGGGCGCGGCGAAACCGACCGTTGGAGCGACGAGTGATTTAAGGCGGGATTCGTCGAGTTCCGAGCCGCACCGGAACGACCGGCTCGAACTCGATTCGGCTTACCTCTGAAAAAGCCCATTTCGACGGTGTTACGACGGATCGAGCACGTACAGAGACTCTCACGTACTCGGATTCTTCACGGCTCGGCTCGTTCCTCCTGTCCCGGGGAACGCTTTCGTCCGGGCGACGGACAACGCTGTGTAGGAGTGTTCGCGGACAACTGCGGCGTGTGCCGTGCGACGACGGTGTGCGCGTGCAGAGTTGCGGCCGGCGGCTTTTTGTTTCGCGGTGCTGACTCGGCTGCTGCGGTCGGTGCTGCCGCGCGCCAATGCGGTTCGTACGGCGGACGACGACGACGACGGCGAGAAACGTCCGGAGGAAAAACTGCTCCGGTTATCAGCCGGCCCCGCAACCGTCGAGGGCTATAATATACGCTCGCCGAGCTTTTCCACTCCTCCTCCTCCACCATCTCCTCCGCCTCCTCCTCCTCCACCTCCCTTCGGTCCTCCTCCTTCGCCTTCGGTCCTTGGCCCGCTACCGCTACCCGGTCGCGGCCACGTATCCCCCCTAGCCGCCGTCAACGGGGCCGGGACAGTACCGTATCGGCCACCTCCAGCGTGTGGGACGTCCTTACGCGGCGCGCCGTACATAACAACCGCGGCCAACCGCGCGCACCTAAAACACGTCTCCCGGCGCGCGCGCTCCGATGATAGATTCGCCGTCGTCAATGACCGGTCGCGGACGGGAACACGGACGTGCCGCGTGCGCCGGACGTGCGCACTTGTTGCTGATCGCCAGACCGAAACCGAAATCTTGCGATCCAAACCCTTTCAGCCGCCCACCTGTTGCACCACCGCGATCGCAGTACGATTAGGGTGTGTCTTTTTTCATTTATGCCCGTGGTCCCGTGGCACGTAACACGATGTACTCGTACGCAGATTAACGACCCATAAATTAAATCACTTTCGAGGGGACACTTCTGTAGTCGTCATCGTCATCTAAAGGCTGTCGCGCCTTGTCGCGACATCCATCAGGCGTTTGAGGTCTTGGAAATAAGACGTTCGTCCTGGTGATATCCCCCTCTCCTTCCTTCGAATACATCCTTTACAAATGAGTTACGTCTGAACAACTGCCCTATTAGTTTAGTTTTCCCTTTTAATATGTGTCCGATAAATCGTATCCTTTTCTTCTTTTATATATTTTAAAACTTGTTCGTTCGTTTTCCTTTCAACCCATAAAGTTTTATCCATTTTTCCCCAGATCCACGTTTCCATTGCTTCGCATTTTCTGATCGTCAAGATTTCACATCCATAAAACATACTTATATATGACGTGCTTATGTAGTCAGTGTCCATCGATAATAATTAAGGAATGATTTCGAAGGAGAATAATTAACAAATCTAATATCGAGAATACCTAGTTAAATTCAAATCATTTTCATTATTTTGATGTTCGTACGATCAGTTTAGATTTCGGCATAATCATGGAAATATTTTAAGGTCTAATGAATTAAAAGCAAGATTTGAGCCATAGAAAACACTTGTTTAGTTTTTAAAAAGTTTCAATTTTCAACATTTTTAATTAACGGATATGTTAAGATTCATTTTTTCAAGTCTCTAATTGTTTTTGAGTAACCCGGTGAAGAAATATATCCCAACATTGTTTTTTATGAGATAATGATAACTTTAATAGAGCTTAACTGAGAATTACCTATTTCAATATCTTAATTATCTTGGTCATGATAAAAATAGTATATTATGCTACATTAAAGTTATAGTAAGTTGTGAACGATTAATATCGTAATTTTGAATTTCAGACCGTACATTTTTTTTCACTTTTCACTATGATCCTTTGAGCTTACATGAATATACTAAAAATAAAAATAATCATACTTTAATTACTGTCTTGCGTTAAAATTGTTTGATAATTTCTCGTATTTTTCGTTTATTACAATTTGCATCGAAGAAACTGTACAGAAATGTTATATCATTACACACATGCAATTCTATTTACTTCGGAGTCCATGAGGAAAAAAATAGTATTCGAAAAGAAGAGAAATTTAAAGGTTTTGAATTATGAGGGGATTATAATTTAACTCTAGGTTTATAAAAGTTCGAGATATCAACGTTCGGCATGTATATTAAGTATCCACTAGGATCGAATGTAGTAGAATTCGTAATGATATTTTTCTTTGGAAATTTATAGTATTCATTTAACCATGTGTATATTTGAATTAAATGATAAAAAATCGTATTCTAAAAGGAAAGAAGGTAATGGTAATATATAAATATTAAGTTTCTTATCTTAATGTTATACGAAACTTAAGTGTTTCATGTAGTAAATACATTTTTTTATAATAAAATAAATATAAACTATATATTGTATAGCTATATTTACACGAAGCTCTTAAGATGTAAACTTTCATTAATTACTTTGTTTCAACAATTTAGGATGAAACTGTTAAAATCATAAATCAATATTTCTCTTAAAATAGTATTAAAGCACTTTTAATTTAATTTAAATGTTGACATTGAAATCTCTATGGAAACTTTAATAACCACATTAATAATATATATGACACTCATTAAATTAAAAAAATTATTCCATAAATTATTTTATTGTCAGTACTTATCTATGTTTTAAAACATTGAAGTCTTTTGTTATAATATTTAAAATACAATATAATATTATAATCTGATAGAAATAGTTTTTTTCATTTCTAATTAACTAAATATAATTTGAAAAATTAGGTGTTGAATCCAATTTTAAAATCGATTAATATAATTCGAAGTATATTTTAACAATCTTGTGCTTATATTTAATACAAAAAAATTATTTATCTATTAGGTGCTAGTACGTTGATAATTATAATTTCATTAGATACAGTGATATTGATAATAAATGACAAATTATGTTTGTCTGAGTTTTCATATTCATTTTATATTTCATCTTAGTTTTTATTAATTAAACCTTCAACCCTCTCAATTTAATTCTATACCGTTTTTAAAATACTATATCACAATTTTAAATATTTAAAAAGAATCTCTCTAAGAAATTGGGACGTTCCAGAATTTTGAAAATTATTAGATATAGAAGATTGTTCAATATGTTTTAAATCCCTTGTATATTGTAACAATATTTTGCTTAGAACTATAATTTTTAATATAATATAATATTGTGAATTGTTTTATTGATACTCATTAAAATTTATATTTTTTATGGTACCTAAGCATATGTGCAAATAGGAGGGCACAAGAGGGTCTTTATTAGCAGCACTGAGTTCAAATTTATCATTCCCGGTTTTTTGTAGGCCAATATATAATAATTACAGTGAAATATCATTTATTTTTTATTTTCTCAATATTTGGATTCTAGTTGCGCCTATGTGCCGAGGTACACCTAACGATTTTATTCTAAGTTGTTTCATGTATTTTAATTGCTTATTTCACATATAAAATTGTATTTTGGAGAAAATTATGATTACAAATTCCAAAGTTGCAAAATATCGTAGAATATAAATGATGCAATAGTTAAGAAGTGTTAAAATAAATTGTCGATGTGCTCTATAATCATGTTATTAAAGTTAGTGTCTCCTATATTCAAACACAATAAATTAACATCACGTATTTTAAATTACAGGTTCAAGGGTAATACATTAGACAATGTTTATTTATCGATTACAAATTTTAATGATATAAAAATTATCTGTGTATTTTTTTTTTTTTATATTGTTTTCGATATTTCACTTTTAAATGTATAGTTTTTAACCTTTTGATAACTTATATTTAATGTGAAAATATTAAGACAAAACTGTCAACATATCATAGACAATATATAATGTTATTCAACAGTTCTAAATAAGACATATTTTAAAATTTAAATAAGTTATTTTCAATTTAGTTTCGGAAAATGTTGAACAGTGTTGTACAATAACACGGATAATTACAATGGCGTATAAGGAGATATCGAAAAGTGTTTTACTAAAGAAAACAATGAAATGTGTTTTCTTAAATGGGTATGTCATTGTTATAAATATTTTTTTTTAAAAAACGAAAAATTAAATCATAAAAAAATGTGATTACATATGAACTTTTTAGTAAATATGCTATCATTTTGTAATCCTAAGTACCCCATTGAAAATGTGTAGGGACACCTTTTTATGAAATGGTAGAAATATTTTATAACAAAACAGTATGATATACGCTCTAGTATATTTAAAGATAACATTGTTAAGTATTATAATTATTAATATTTATTACTATAAATAAGCAATGCACACTCTACTTACAACTAGAATGATGTGTACAAGTTCTTGAATTTATAAGTAATAACTTATGTTCCCTAATCAAATTCAATAGGTTCAAATTGACATAACTAAAAAAATTGTTTAATAGTTTAATACTTTACATGTATGGATAACACGTGATTAATATTTGCTCTATAAGTTAGATAAGAAGCAAAATAATAAATGAAATAAAAGTTGAAAATATAATACTAATAAGACCGTGTAACTTTCACAGGTCTAGGTTAAAATAATTATTTTAAACTAACATCGATAAAAACAGTAAACGTGATAAAGATATATTACTGTACTTGAAATTTGAAGAGTATACTTAGACGAAATTAACTAGGGGTCGGAATTGTACAAACTACCTAAACAATTTTAAAATGATCCAGAACACATTTTTTCAGAAACATTATTTTACTAGGTTAGGGTATACCAATAAACGAGCTTGAAAATAATTTTTATTTCATTATATTCTCTGGAACAGATGACAGAAACAACAAAAATTAAATATTAATAAAATAATAATATATTGCACACTATTACTTATGTTAGGAGCGTTTGTAAATTGCGCCCGGGATTTTTCGGAGTCTTAAATGGGTATAGTAAATTGCGCCCATAGTATCTATTATCTAAGTGATCTTGAATTCATCGTTACCTGGTATTTTTAGAGTCAGAGAATGTTTGCAATTATTTTAACTATGAATTAATGCCTACAATGCCTGAAGATAATCGAATTTGACAATTTTCTTGCTATGTTTAAAACAAGTATATTTTATTCGCTGACTTTCCTCCGAATATTAGGACATCAGCTTTCGCAACATTAACTCGGACAACTAATGCTCGTGAATATTTTTATACTAGCTGTATTTTTTATTATTAACATATTTAACCTAATGAAATATGTTAAAAGAACTATAGTTAATACCATAATATTTAAAAAAATAAAAAAGAATTTTCCTATTTTTATGTAAATTATGAATATGTTAAGATTTTGTATCATTATTATGCAGATAACTTATAACTGTATTTTTTATTATTAACATTTTTAACCTAACAAAAAATATTTAAAAAACTATAATTAATACCATAATATTCATAAAAAAAAAAAATTAATTTTCCTA